TATATGTCAATAAAAAATCCCTAATTCACAACTCCAGGAAGTACATTAGGTAAATGTAGAATGATGGATGTTTAAAATTATTTCCCAAACTATCAACTGTAATCTTTGCCTCTTTATTCTCAAAGTAAGCTCTTGTTTCTTGTCTGATTTGATTTCTTTGTATCATATTCACTGTTTCCAGGCAGTTGTCAAATTACCACTGTTGAATGTAGCTCTGAAGATGTCTGTTTGTATTGAGGTCTATGAATTATCCAGTACAAGGACAACAATTCTAGGAAAATATGTCACTGTAGAATGTTTTTTATGTCATTTTTCAGTGCTGTCCAACATCTGACTGCAACAAATTCTGATATCTGCCGATCCTGAGCACCAGTGCTCTGTTTTTAATAAAATCTGTACATACCTCATTTCATGGAACTCAATTTTATAGAAGGTAACATGAAGACTGCTGTGACTGAATGAATGTAACTGATTACAAAATTGGGTGTTTCTGCTAAGGAACAAAGAAACTGAAACAGTGAATTGATTAGTCGACCAGCAGACAGTAATTCATTATGTTTTTAAAAATGCCACAATTCACTGATTACACAATAAATAATATTTTTGCTGGTTCAAACAGTCATAATTTTATGGACCAAATGATTAATTGAATAAACAATCGGCAGATCTATCAATAATGAAAAGAATCCAAACTTGCGACCCTGAATTAAACTATTTAATGTTGATCACACAAGTGGCTGATACCCTTTTTGCTTAATCAGGAGCTAATACTGATCTGGCAGATCGGAGCTGTCTCCTCTCAGCCCTATTGCACTGGGAACGGAAACAGATATATCAAAACTTGAGCCAATAAAGCCAAAACTATCTGCATAGATAGATAGATTCCACTAGAGTGAGAAAATATTGAACCAGCCCTTTAATGTGTGGCTAGAAAGCAGGCTAGTTGCAGAAGGAGCCACGTGTGCAGCGTGTGGCGACTAGAGTAGATTATCTGTGGATTCACAGCAGTGAGTCAGCGAGAGATGGATGGACGGCGTGCGAGCTGCATGCGTCTGCAAACGGTGTCTTCACAGCACAGGCCACCACTCGGCTCGCTCCCCCCACACTGCAAGGCGGGCCACTGTCAAAGGTCTATTAAGGGAAGATTGAGACCCCAGGTGTATATGTGTGAGTAAGTGTGTGTTTGAGTGTGTGTGTTCACATGCTCATTGGTCATGGTCCTATAGTGGAAGATTGAGACCCCATTGCTCCCAGAGCCACTCAACCAACACAACCTGCAGTGGTTTACAATCAGAGCAACACCGTCCATCCATCCCTGCTGACACACACACACACACACTGAGGGATACTCCTCAACAGTACAGCTCACTATAGATGTCATTAAACAGTAGCCAAGGTGGAAAAGCTGTGTGACACCGTCGTGGACACGGTGGGTGTCACGATGTTGGAACGAGGGTTTAGAGGCAGATTGAGGTGCAGGTCAGGGATGCTGGGGGGAGGGTGTGAGGGGGGTGTACGAGGCTGCTTGGTGGGAATCATGGCAGCACCTTTGACAAGCCCTATTTGTCATCTGCCAGGACGCCCAAATAACTCTGACTACAATACAGATGGATTGTGGGAGAAAAAGTGACTACAAGCCAGGCAACTAATCCTGTATAAACCCCCTCCCTACCTCCACCCATATACTCTCTCTTGCTCCCTCTCTTGTTCTGACTCTCTCCTCTTTTTACTAGGTTTCACTTTCATAACCCAACACGCACTTTTCACCCACAGAACTAGCTATGTGGTTGAAATCAGTAGCATTGTATTGATATCAAAAATCAGAATCAGGACTTATTTATTTTCTTTCCATAGTTTTGACCATCATAAAAGCTCTGAAAACATTGTACACACTAAAGTAATTACTGAGATCTGGGAACAAGGTAACATTGCTAAAAAGTCAAGCAGTAAGAAACATGATCAGAAAGACTCTAAATAAGCTCAGTTATATTATATATTTAAAGTTAAAGTTTAAAGTGGGCAGTGGTTTTACCATTTGCCTTAGTTTTCTCTTCTAATAAGTTAAGTTAACCTAGAGGTTTATTTAAAATGCATCTGATTGTCTGACTACTCATGTTTCTTACCCTGTCAGACTTCTTTTTATCAAATAGGTATCACATTTATATACCTAAGGAGTAAATTTCATCAGCGCCAGTAACGTTACACGTTGCAGAGGCATGCAGGAAAAACCTACATTTGCGCAGAGGGATAGGACTCACTGTTTTAGTGTTTTTACCCCCTGCAGTCGGGTAAATGGGTCAGAAATCTACTTAAGTAAATTTTTACTTGCCATTATACAACTAGTTTTATTTATTGGAGTTTTATCAAATAACAGCAAGAACCTCTTAGCTGCCATGCAATACTCTCTGCTCTTGTCATGGCATTTTTCAGAAACTTGACGCTGCTTTGAATAATTACCTAAATTTATCCGCTTGCCGTCAAACTTGTGGCAAACTGTGAAATTGCAACTCTCAATGGAGAAGGAAGCGAGATCGTTCACTCCTTAGCTACTTCCATCATCAGCTTCTGAAATAACATGTTTAATTCTTCAAGTTAGTTGCTAGATTTACTAGCCCGACATGGCATTTTACTTGCCTTGGGCAAGCGGGCAATCCTTGTTGACCCCTTACATTGTTCAAAATTTGTTTGTAGTCAGTTTCACTCAAAAGAGTGCATTTTGGTGAAAGTTATAATCAGGTAACATAGCATCAAGCGGACGTGTTGTTATGTTTCAGGTGTCCTGTTGCACAGTTTTAATGGATACCTGCCAGCCAGGCAGAATGGTAAAGGCATGGTATAACATAGAATTATAACCCTATAAAGAACCTTCATATGTACATGTCATGTACTCTACAAGTGTACATGTGCAAGACACCGTGTGTGTATGTGCGTGTGTGTTTTTGTGTACGTGTGCGTCCTAAACATGCAGTCAGTATCCCTGCAGCCCCCCCAGCTCGCAGTGATTTGTTCAACAGTAAATGTTTGTCTGAGATGAATTCTCCAGCTGATCCAGAGCTGCATCCCGGCTGACAAATGAAACCAGCGCCTGGGGGGAGGAAGAGTGAGGGGGAGGAGTGGAGAGAGAGAGAGAGAAGCTAGAATGTGTAGAAGTGGAAATCGAATCATTTTATTGTTTGTCACCACGACCCTCGTGGTCACGGTTTATTATTGGACGCTAATTAAAACGGCGACAATCCTGACAATTGGCAATTAAAGACTTGTGAAAGAGGTGATAGGAAATGAGCTCCTCACCGGGGGTATAAACTCATTTGTTATCCCTTTTTCACACCTCTCTTCACTCTGTCTTTTCTTTACTCATTAGGAAGACAGAGTGCTGTCACTGACCACCACAGTGAATGATTTGTAGGAGGGGAAGAGGTAGTGCAGATAATGACATGCAAGAGGGGTTTTTTGGGGGGTGGAATAATTTAAATGAATACGGTGAGCAACTGATTCATGTTGCATTAAATCTCCCTTTTCACACTCTAGTAGTGGAAGGTTTTCTACCTTTTTCATGAAGTACCATGAAGCTTGTGGCAAATGAATTTATAAAAGCCCTTTTACATATGTATTGTACACAAAGCTTTTAATCCATGTCCGTGGAAGCTTGGTTATAAGAATATTTGTGGTTTACTACATCTCAGATTGTATTTCTGTCAGCTTGTCCTCTACGTCTATTGGTAATGATAATTTTGTATACATCAAATAAATTGCTGAGATCTGGGAACATCATTAAAGGAAGTCAGATGGGTCAAGAAACACAAGACTAATTTGAAAGAAAGATTTGAATAATGTATTTGATATTCGTGTGCTCAATAGGAAAAGTGGAAGAGATATGTGGATCTTTGGTTGAAGCTAAATTGAGTTGGAATGAACTTACTTTCAGCTTCATTTGGAAGAGACAACAGAGGTAACGGTATAATTTAGTGATAGACCAATCAATCGGACGATTAATTGGGACGATTATCTGGCATTTGGAGATACTCGGCACCGGCTGATGCCTGCGCTCACCAGGCCGATAAACAAAAAATGTCTGCAGGCAGCCTCGGCAGTATGGCTGCTCTGGAGCGATGTTAGCGCTCCCCTTCGTGATTTTTTTGGAAGGTGGTATAAGAGTTGGTTTCAAGCCCTGTACTGTAACTCTCATACATCCTGCTGTAAACATATGCCTGAACTTACATCCAAACACACACCTCCTACTATGGTAGTAGGAGGAGTGAGTTGGTTGTAACATGTACATGAAAAATAAAAATAATTATAATTAATAATAAATTTTTAATGTATTTGGCATATACCAATAGATAACCGATCAATTACTGCAGGAACACGAGATTAGAACTTGGATTCACAATGTACCTACAGGGCTCCTGGCCCATGTAGTCTCTGATCTTAGTAAACTGATGTAAACAGGGACTTAGACAACCCACAATGCAAATGCTATTCTGCGTGCGAGTACGTCAGCCAGCATAGGCCATCATAAAACAACATGATGGATACACAGCCAAATAAATAAATAAATAAATAAAAACACTTAGTCCTCTTTTTTTTTTTTTCTATTCCGATCTCTCTACTCTTACGCCTCTTCTCTGATGGATCTGTAAAATGATATAACGAATGAGACTTAAAGTGAGAAGGAGGGAGGGAGACCAGGCAGGAGGGATGAAGGCAGCGAGGAAAGAGACAGAGGATATGATTTATTAGGCTCATAAAAATTCTGCCTTTGTTATTCCCTCTCATTTTTATATGTGAAGCTTATTAAAGAGCACACCTGCCAGAGTCCTCAGACAAACTTGTGTGTGCGTCTGTGTGTGTGTATGTGCAGTTTTGTGCTTTCAGAATGATGAGTATATGTGCGTTTGTTCACTTACCGACTGGATGTTTAACTACTGCGTCTGTTTGTGTGCGTGATCAGATTTTCATTGCAGACTTTCATACTGATCTGTCATCCTTGCTGTCCTCAGGTCCCGCCTTCTTCTCCCACCGTAGCCCCTCCTCTTCTCAGCGAGTTTTCAGGTCGCCCTACAACTTGGTGACCCGCCCGGGCTCCGGCACCACACACCCACTCCACTACAACCCTGCTCTCTCTTGGAGGGCCAAGAGAATCCAGACTGCCAGGTAATCCGCGTTAACAAAGACAAATATACACACACACACACCTCCTGCAGGTCTGGGTTTAATGTGTTTCAGTGGCCAGTATCCTCCAGCGCAGAGCAGCGCCCTGTCTTTTATGTCACCGTCATGTGAAGCATGAGTGGAAGAGGTCGGAAATTTATGGTGCTCATTTTTACACAGTAGATAACCCAGAGAATAAACCATTTACATCACTGTGCTCCTCCCATTAATTTACTGTACACCAGCAGGGAAAGCGTCTCACCCAGGACAGATGCAGAGAGAGAGGAAGGGTGAGTGGGTCTGGTTCTCAATGCCGTTACAACTCCCATCCCTTCTTTGTCCCCTCGTTCTTTTATCATTCTCACATGAGGTTTAATCCACCAGTGAGTCTTGACCTCACAGTGAGTAAAGTATCTGCATAGGGCTGCAACTAATGATTGATTTCATTTTTGGTTAAAATTCTTATCTCTAAATTGTTTGACAAATTTAGGCTATAAATTGTACAAATTCAGTAGGACAATCTTCAGATTGCTTATTTGACTGACAAATAGTTGAAAATCCAACTACATTCACCTTACAATGATACAAATGAGAAAAAACACAATATACATATATAATATATATACAATATCAAAACCGCAATATGGCCCAGTGCAATATCTAAATCACAATGTTTTGATAAAGGTCAAATGTGTGACAAACAGCATTATAATGAAGAACTGTAGCTCTGAGGGAGCTTCTCTGGCCTTCACATCTTGTTCTCCAGATGTAAGAAAATAATGGCAACGTGACTTTTTGACCATATATTTAGGCCTATAACACACAGAGCTGAGAAGATCTTTTTTGTGTGATATGAGTGGTTGTGGTGGTGAGGTCATCTCTGAGGGTAGAGAGTTAATTAATGTTTATGAGGAGGTCATTATTGGGTGACAGACATTAACTTAATGGCTTATTCATGGCTTTATCACTACGGAAAAGACACACCACAATCATGTTTATTAACCAGGTGGTGTTGAGCTTTTTTCCCGGCAGTGGTCGCGTACTGTGATTGTGAAAGCTCTGAACAGGTTGTTGTGGTTGGTTTTGACGATCTGTTAATGTGTAGAGAATTAACAGGATGCTCTTCCTAGCTGAGGTATGACTAGACTCTCTCACACGCACACATACACACCAAACCACATGTGGTTCAAAGTGCCATGAGGGTACCTACGTCTATTCTAGGAGTCGTTCTGTTCTGTTCACAAAAGAGATACGTATGGTTGCAACTAATGACTCATTCCACTGTCACTAAATCTGTTAAAAATAGTTTTTGATTAATTGTTTGGTTTATAAACTGTCCGAAAATTGCACATTTTTTAATTTTTTTTTTATAGAATTCTTCATCTCAAGGACATATTAGCTTTTTTTTGTTCAACCAACAGCCCACAACCCAAAGATCTTCAATTTATAATAGAAAATCTTCATATTTGAGAAGGAATCAGTGAAGATTTGATGTTCGAGGTTGGACAAATGAAAAGTATTCTAAAAATTCTGATATTAAATTTAAATACTGGAAAATCTTACATGGGAATTATTGGAAATCGTTCATTTATCATCGTCATCAAAGTGTCAGTTAATCGCCAAAAAGGAGAAATGTTTTGTTTCTAACCTTGGTGGGGTGTCTGGCCAGCTTATGATCACAGGTTTGGAGATCTCCACCTCCGAAAGCGTGTGTTGATACCTCAGTAAAATGATGGTAAATTCTGTTTTGTTTGTTGTAGGATTTAGTGGCATGTAGCAGTGTAGTTGCTCATTGTGTGTAAGGCCCTCTCTACAGCCAGTGTTTGGTTTGTCCGCTCTTGGCTACTGTAGAAATAGGTCGGTTCAACATGGACCCTCTTTCTCTGTAGATAAAAATATCTCATTCTAAGGTAACAAAAATGATTCTTATGTATTTAGGGGATTTTTAGGTGACTAATGAAAACATACTTATGAATATTATATTCCATTTCTCAATGTTACACACCAGAAATTACAAATTAAAACTTGAGAAACTCTTCACAAGTCCCTTGTTTGTGTCAAAATTCACAGACCTCACTTCCTTTGGTAGAAAGTAGTTCCAGTAGAGATTGTTTACAGTGAGGACTGTGGAATATCCAGAGTGAAAAATACTTTTAACTTTTCAAATACAAAAACTGCATACTCTCACACTCTCTTGTCTTGTTTGGTCAGTGATTTTCATCAAGGCGAGTTAGCTTAACTGCCACTTTTGTTTCATATTGCGTTTAGTGCACTTGGACTGCATGGTTTGGCACACTAAGAGCCTTCACTATGTATAGAATGAATGAATGATGATAATAAACTCCTAATGAAATCGTGACACTCAAAAAAAATCAAAAGTCAATGAAATTACAGGATTCCCAAAGATTCCCAGCCCTCTCATGAGCACCACAAACAAAACTCCCAAAATATCTGAGGCAGATATTACAAAACCTGAGCATCTTTTTTGTCATGTGGGTGACCTTTAGGTTGTCTTTTGGTTGAGTATTTTTGGGTAGCCCTTTATAATTAAAGCTTTTTTGTGCTTATGTGCGTTTGTGTGTGTTGATGATGGGGGGTTCATTTGTGTAATCCAGATTTGGTGAGACAGAGCAGCCTGGACTGTGGCTGGACTCGGCTTCTGGTGACTTATTACTATTCATTTAGCTGCTGCAGTAAATATTGATTCATCAAGGGATTTTCAATTTGAGCACCGTGACATCTTGTGAAATATCACCAAGTGTGTAGAAGTGAGGAAAGAGATAGGGAGGGAGGGGGACAGGTCAGGTCCCCAAGGATAGTGGATTACCCCCCTCACCCACCCATGCAGTCCTTTCTCATGCTTATCTATCTGTTTAACTCCAAAGACCCTCCACTTTTATCAGTTTGAGGCTATTGAGTGGAGCATGAGCTCATATTCTTCGCTCTTAACTACTGAGTGCTGCTCTTCATCTTTGGCCTATCAGACCCACTGATCCCTGTCCTCATATGTCCTCTGCTCTTATCTCTGGTGCCTGCTCATAGCTGAATCCCTCACTCAGAGCCATGCATCTAAAAACAAACCCTAGACCCAGCCTTGCTTAGTGTTCAGAGGTCTCCAACGTCTTCAATCTAGATAACCTGCGTGCATTCTACGCGACATTGTTAAATATATAAAGTAGATCTCTAGAGTAAAAAATCAAGCTGTTCTTTTAAAATGGTCCTTATAACCCGGCTAACAGATACAATAACATAACCGTCACAATATCAAAAACAACTCAGATGCTCTGGAGGGTATTTTTATGCTCTAATTTCTTTATTCAGTCAACTTTTATTTAGACAGAGTGGTCATCTCATACCAAAACAATTGGACAAAAAAACTCACCAAAACCTTCTTTGTTAGTCTTTCCACAGTCTTTTCAACAATCAGCAAAGCTGGTTTGGCCAAAATTAACCCTTAATTCACTGAGTTAGTTGTACAAATATTTATGAAAAGGGCTGCCATGGACACAACTTTAGGCTAACGTCCATCCTTCAGGACAAATCTGACCATCAAAATCCACTACAAGTGCTTGCTTTTTTCCACTGACAGGCTCAGATTGTTATTCTGTGTCTGACATTATGGAAAGGATCCCTACAGAGATAGAGATTGGTTTCAACAGAAACAGCTGTAATATAGTTATCACTTGACAGAAGACTCCAAAAACAATGATTTTACTTCGCAGATCATTGTAACATCGTAACTTCATTCAAAATGAACAGAAGCAAAATAAAACTCACCAAAATCGTCTTTTTTATTGTTGCAACAATCACCAACTCTACTCAGCAGACCGGCTATATAAACAAACCACAGAGAGGCTGCGTTAGCAACACAGTCACTCTGTCAGGACACTAGTTCTCCACTTTATCTTTACGTACCAAATAATTGTTATTATCACAAAATGGCAATGGTATGCAAGATTACATTTAAAAATGGTAACTGATGTCTAACCATGAACTGTTATGCTTTACATCAGTGGAAATTATTGTACATTTAAAACCTTAAGCACTATTTTTACATAATTCATTTGGATAATTTGGGCAAAAGATGTAAAACGAGAAGTGAGAAGACAAAAATGTTCTAATACTGTAATATACTTCCAGCTCTAAGCAGAGATAATACTTATTTAACACCTGAGTATGAACATGAAAAAGATTTAGAACACATATTTTTGAGGCATTCTTGAGATCTTGACATGCTGTTCATTAGCATCTGTCGAGAACAGTTTTTACTAGGAGATGAACTTCATTAAGTTCTAATCCAAATCTTTGTAAATCCTCAAACAGCAAACAGAACACACATTCTTTATTTTGAGATTTACACCAGCCTGTTGTCAGTATCTGTCTGATTAGATTATTTGTATCACACCTTTGGACACAATCAAGGCAAATCAAACTGCTGTATATAAGAAAATGTGCCATCTAAAAACAAATTAATTAAAACATTAACTAGGAAAACAAAATGTACATTTTCACACCACACTCACAAACTTCACTGCCTAAACCCTCTCAACTGGCTAGTCTCAGACCTTTCCTTCTCCCAGGCCCACAGGAAGAGAGGTCCTCCCTACCCCTACCCAGCATGCCGTGCTCTTACCTGTTTTCAGCCATAACGAGCATGGCGGGTGATTTAGTGCTGGGCGGCAGTTTGAAGGGGCGGGGGATATCGGCTGCAGTATTTCAACCCCCGCCACCAGAAAATAGATATAATCTCAACATTAACTCCATTAATAGTAGCAGGAGTTGAATTAAGAAAGCCGTAAAGCATGCACATGGGGGGATAAATTACGGCCCAACCCTCCCTTCATCGCTCTCACAGCCCCTTATTTTTCTCTCCACTGTCCCTTTAATTTCCTATATCCATGTGTTTGCTATGTTGCTGTTCTTTCTTTCTGTTTTCTCTCTTTTCTATTTAATAAGATATATTTTGTCACATCTGTCTGGTTGAATTCATCCTATTCTCATGCTAATTTATTTAGCTTCTACTTGCATCTATCTTTTTCACTCTTAATTCTGACATGAATATTAAAGCACCCAACACTGCGGGACCCTCCACCCCCAAATAAGTATACTATTTTTCAAAGTATACATCTGCACACATGTAGACACACACACACACACACACGCTCGGTCCAGGCGCTCATCTTCTTTAGTGCTTCAGTATCGATCAGTACAGGATGTAAGAGACTGGGCAATAAAGTGAAGCAGCGTTCCCTCTTCTTCACTTCTCTCCTCCTTTTCCCGCATTCTCTCCCCCATTCATTGCCTTTTATACCCCAATTCATTCATTTACTCATTACTTATCACATTAGTCATCTACCAGTCACCTCCAGTCGTGTGTTATGATCCTCTTCTGCTGCTGTTCACACTCGTATTCTACACAAATACTCTGGTTTGCTGCTTAGTGTTATTTTCTACCCTAAAAGAGGATTTTGTTCATTACAGTCAGCTCCCTTTAAGTTGGATTTGATGGGGTCGTGATGCGTAATGACACTGCTTTGGTTTCCTTTAAGTGCCTAAAGAAGAGCAGCAGTCCTTACTGTTGGAATTAGCCAGATGACTGTTTTTGCTGTGCTCTGTTTCAAGGGTAACTGTTTCCCAATATGAGCTTACTAATGCTTGGGTTGCAGACAAATAGACAAGGGCAGCATTATTCTGAGCAGTCGCGCGACCCTCCAAATTCTTCCCTGTCACTAAAACAAAAGTCGGATCATTCATCAACAGCGCTGGTAGTGCTGAATCGCGCTCTCCTTTATCTGTGCATCGCATGGTCGGAGCAGTGCACGTACACACACCTGCCTGTACACACACACACACACATGTACATGCATACGCGTGCAGACTGGCCACAGGGGAGTTTCTGCATGCCCTTGCCCCCTCCTTCAATTCTTCCTTTTCTCGACATATTTCTTCCTTTGTTTTTGGGGAGTTAATGTTCTTTTACTGCGACCTCCAGTCATTGTCTTTTTGTTTTACAACACAACTAAATGAATATAAAGTACTGAAACAAGGCTGAAACAGTGAGTTAATTGAAATTCGACTGACAAATTTAACTGACTTGATTTATGGTTTAAGTTGTTTATCAAGCAAAAATTCTCTATTTCCAGCTACCTGAATGTGAGGATTATTATCTGTTCTCTTTTTTCGTGTCATCGTAATTTGAATGTATTTGGGTATTTGACTTTTGGTTGGACAAAATAAGACATTTGAAGTCTGTACATAATTCAGTATAACTTTTTCCCACTGATTAATTGATAATTAACACACACATACAATCCATTACTAAAGCCACACTAGGTAAAATGTTTTCTTTTTATTGTTACTTTTCTGCTCATTCTTCAAAAAAAAAAAAATAAAGATTTAGCAAATATAGAAAGACATTTTTTGTGGCTCTGTACTCCAAACTTTGAGTGCTGACATTGAGTTGTTATTTGAAGATGTTAACATTCATATTGAGTGACTGTATATAATGTCATTACCCTACTGCACTTTTCACTAATACTAGACTGTACACCCACTGTTTACATTGTATGTTCTATATGGGTGGTTACTCCCTCAAACACGTTGACTTCATAAATATTGTTTTATTTCGGTTTCTCTGAAATACAGAGCCATACCTCATGGTGAGCGAAGAGCAATTATCTGAGGGCTTTAGAAGTGGGTTTTGCTCTGATTTTGTAGATCAAAAACAATATGCGTTCTGAGACTGAAGAGTAAATGTGTCTGAAAACCAGAACAAAGAGCTAAAAATGGATTTTTGCATTACGTGTTGTCGTTTTATCCATAGTAATAGAAAATATGAATTAGTGCAGCTTGTGTGGATGTGTCCTTCAGGCCCTGTAGCAGAAAGGAAGGCAGTACTGTATGATATCTGTGCAATGTTCCACACAAAGGGTCTCCCCCTGAAACAACGTGGTTGTCCAGCAGGGGAGGATTTGTGCATTAGATGGACCTGGAGGGTGTCTGATAACAAATATATCTCTGAAGGTCAAGGGCATCGCTGGGAACGGGCCAAGGAGAGTCTGGAGACAGAGAGAGAGAACCTACTCCTTTTTAAATGATGTAATCAGTTGTTTGATGGTTTGATTCTTATGTTGCTTACACTATTTGCTTCTGTTCTTCCTTCCTCTCATTACAGGCAGTTTACCTTATTGCAAAGGAAATCTGCTCCTGCAGAGGCTGTTTACATTAATGGTGTTTGGCCTGAGGGTGAAAAAGGACGTATGTACAGTCACACAGAAGAGAACTTTATTTCTTCACTAATGAGGCTCACAGCACATAACAGATTTTGTTCATGGTTGTAATAAAATCTTTTTCTACATGTCAACAGTGCTTTGAAGCTGGCAGCTTAGTCTGAATCTATTTTCAGTTCTGTTAAAGATTTGTGAACACCCTTTCTGAACTTAGGTGGTCTAAAGCAATCCATACCCCAAACAGTAAGAACATTGTCACCCTGACATAGTTAATTGCATTCTTGCTGCATTTGCAAGAAAGCAGTAGAGATGAAATACCTCACTGATGTATGAGCAGAGAGTAACATTGCTTAGCGTAGAGGTTGGAACATGCTTTTTTTTCTGTCTGCTCATTAGTGAACATGAATGTTTGTTGTGACATGACTGTTGTCTTTTATCCAACATGAAATTGGATCAACCAATTGGCCTGTTTGTTGTCAGGGCTGCACAACACGTAGTTGATTGACATTTGGGAGGTGTTTTGGTCGGCTCTTCTGAAAGCCTCTGTGACCCACAGTTACATATAAAACTCCAAGATGTTCACATTTACCTCCGCAGAGGCATAATTCATGGCAACAATAATGAAAAACTGCATTTTGATGAGGAAAACATTTTCTAAACATACTACAAATTAAAACAGTAGTAAACACTAATGTGTGAGCCTTTCAGCTGGACAATCACTCTGAGGTTCGGACACATACATATGATCCCAGTGAGAAAACATCCTAACAGACTGGGTGTTACACCCCCCGGTCACCCCCCTGGCTGCAGCCCTGTGTCAGGGTTAACTGCCGTCTGTGTTAACTGTTCATGTCATATCCCCATTAACCTCCATTGTGGCTCCCCAGGCCGCCCGGTCCTTGTTTAAGCCTCCCTGGGTGGCAGTCAGCACTCCAACATTAGCCTCCATTACAGCTCCCCTGGCTGCAGTTGCCCTGTGTAGGGCAGCCACTGATCTTGTATCAGTGAAACTGAGTGTCTGTGCTGCTGAGTTATGGCACGCAGTCAGGTAGACCGTGTACATGAACGCCGCTGATGGCTGATATTTGCTCAGTTTTTTTCTTATTTGCAGCAGTGCAGCAGCTCTCCGCCTGCTGCAGCGTGTTAAGCGTCCGTGTCAGTTGTTTTGTGCGCGCCGAGCATTCGGGGTAACCCTCTCTTTTCTCTGTAATGGGAGGCATGAACTCTCGCTCTAAACCCATTTCCAGCCCATCTGAAATACGGCAGCAAATTACCTCCAGCGGCACCCTGCACACCAGCCCCAATCCGCCCCAAATAGAAGTGACAGGACAGCGCAATTTATCGCCATAACCCCTGCACCACCCCACCACCACCCAGCAGCCCCATACACACACGTACAGCCGCCGCACACATACTCAAGCCTACTGAGTGACTTCTGAATGGTGAGCATGTGTGTGCAGAGGCCTGTGATTGTGTGTACTGTACATACTGTAGCAGAAGTGTGTTGTGATATCGTATGTGTGTGTGTGTGTGTGTGTGTGGTCTCTACGCTCCAGTGTAGGGGCCAACCTCGCTGCCCTGGCCCCCTGCCCTGCCTATTATCTCATTGATTTCCTCCTCTCCTCTTTTCAATTCTCTCCATTTCCACACTGCCGTCCTTTCCATTAGAGGAGCAATTTAACAGAGTGCTGTGACATGGGAGGGAGAGAGAGGGGGAGGGAGGGAAGGAGAGAGGAAGGAGGGGAGACTAGAGGATGGGAAACATAAAGTGAGGAGGGGAGATATAGTGGAAGAGCTTGAGGGAAGATAGGCAAAAGAGGGGTGTAACTGAGGGAGGGTTGAGCAGATAATATCATTCCAGCTCAGATCGACGGAGAATTTCACACAGTTTGTAAACTGAGCTGAACAGATAATTATCATCATTTAAAGTTGTAATAAAACTGAATTATCCTGTCAGAAATATATAACCTTAAGTTCAAAATCCCTTATTTCATCTGTTTGTCTCTGTTTGTCTTTTTCTGTCCTTCTTCCTCTCAGGAGTTTCCTTCAGAGCCGCCTGCGATCTCCCCACGACAGACACCCGTCATCCTCTCAGCACTGGAGAAGAAGCAAGCATGAAGGCATGTGCTGGATTCGTGGCTCCCTGTACCGGGTGTCAGCCAATAAGCTGTCCCGCACCGTGGGGTCCAACATGTCGATCAACCGAACAGGTACCGTCATTGTAATGTAAAACACAACACTCTGTCCGGATTTTGTGCAATCGCACGGGTGACTTGTGGCACTTTTACAGGACTGTGGTTATTCACAGCTAAGGCGTGGAAATCCTAAAACTTATTAAGAGAAAACACACCTGATGAGTTTGCACATCCAAGGTTCTATGAAGCTCATGGTCTGTGTTTGCTCTGAAATGTAGAGAAAGGCTGATCTGTATTATGATATAATATTTAGTATTATGTGGTAGACTGCTGCATGTTGTGACCACAGTATGAGTGGGCGCACCATCAGCTGTGGTTAGCTCAGGTGCAACCTCTGTATCATTGGAGCTAGGTTTACACGCTAACGTTAGAGCTACAGAATCACTTCAGAAATGTTCTCATCTCTCCTGCTGTCAGATAATTCATAAATAGTAGTAGAGTCTTTTATCAAATGCAAAAAAAGGAAAATCAAGAAGGTTAGTTTTTGTTTTTGTTTTTAAACTTTTCAGATAAAATTTTATCTGGCAATATATGTGAATTCAACTTAAATTATTATTGTAGTAAAAGCACATGTTTTTGGGTGGTTTGTAAGTTTGTTCATCCAAGATTTTGGCTGGGAAGAAGTTTTTTTGGATACTATTGCCAGTTAGGCCCCCAAAAAGTCAATAAGTCCCCCAAGTTGGTAAATGGTAAATGGACCTGTACTTGTATAGCGCCTTTGTAGTCTTCCGGCCACTCAAAGCGCAAAAGTCCATCGAACAGAAACTAACTCATACATACACATTCACACACCAATGCTGTGCATCGGGAGCAATTTGGGGTTCAGCATCTTGCTCAAGGATACTCGCCCACGGGCAAGCGAAAGGAGCCCCAGGGGATCGAACAACCAAACCTTCCCGATGGGGGCCGGACGACCCGCTCTGCCTCTGAGCCACAGCCGCAAAGTTGTTTCGCATTGTTTTTCGAATCACTGCACTTTTGTTCATTGTACACAGACAAACAGCATGACAGAGTGTAATCTTTACAAACCAAGACTCAAAATGACCCCAAACCACAATGTGATTAAAATGGAGTGATAGTTAATGGAGGGCAGCGTGACCACACATAACAGGGCAGGGGCTACTTTGATGCTCTCTGCTCCAGTGAAGTCAGCTAAACCTCTTTTGAATCAGCTGGTGGTACAACCTCCTCTACTGCCGTCATCTGTGATTGATTCTTAGGCCAACAACGCTGTCAGCAGCCCGGCAGGAGAGACGCTCCGTGGTGTGCTAAGATTATTATATTATTTATAGCTGAACTATGAGCAGGACGCACACTTTTACTTTCTCTGACTGTGGGGAAATCTGGTGTTTTACATTGCAGATGACAAAGGCATTAAAACGTGGGCTAAAACACAAGGAACTGCAGAAAGGGCTGATTTAAGAGTTTAGTGTGGTGCTGAACTGAGAGAAACAAATGGTCTGATCCTTGTATTGAATAGCCAAATACGATACGACTGACAAAATGTATCTTCTCATCCTCTTGATCATTTAATACTAACATTTCAAACTTAATAGTGTTCAATAGTCAGTGCTACGGGCAGATTTCAGCCTGTATCATGAGGTTTAATTCACAGCCCTATCCAGGACATGTATTGCGAGTACAGGGCAGTGAGTCTGTGTGCACCCCGAGGTGATAAAGAAGTGTTTATTCATGTTTGTGGCTGCAGCTCCGTCCACATGCTCTCTAATAGACTTACGGGAGCTGGCTGGATTTGCCATCTGAAATAATAAAGTTGTCATCTGTCAGAGCAGCGAGGGGGAGGGTCGGGAGAACTGGACGGTGCAGATTAAAGCCCGGATCTGCCTCTACCTCCTTCACACTTCTCCCTTATACACATTCTGTAGCACCTGCAGGTGAAATTGAAGAGCTCCATTCTGTTCCACTCGTGACCGGAATCCCAACACACACATTCCTGCCTCCCCCAGAAACGCGCCTCAGGTGTCTCCCCTGGAGGAGTTTCAGTCACACATCTTACCCCAGCAAGCTTCACATTTGTTCCTGGTCTGGAGCCACCGGCCTGTAATTCTGCTCTGCTTAAATCACTCCAGAGAGAAAACTTGATGAGAGCCTTAACAGCCAGAAAAGTTCCAAAATTAGAGGTCTGAATGAGATCAATTGCCATCTGTAACCTCAACCTCTTGCCTCCTTGTCTTCTTCTCCGCTCCTGTCATGGCGTCCAACAACTGCCCACATACACACACACACACACCTTTCCCTCCCATGTTTGTGCAGTGCATTGGGAACATAGTGTTTATGATGTTCTCAGACAGAGCTGGACGTCACGTTTGGCTTTGGCACCAATGTGTCAAACCACCGCAGTATAAATAACCGGGCACATATCAGGTTGTTATTGCATCTGGCTGAACAAACACACACTCAGACAGCTTCATTTCTGTCATATCTGACGTCAATAGTCATAATAGTATTTTCCAAAATTTATATTTTAAATTAGACTTGTGTAAACTAACAGCATCAGGACATGCAAGATACATACATTAGAAAATATGAATAAATGAAAATAAAGACAAAAACCGACCTCTGCTGTATCCGTGTCTTCATCGCCATGCAAAGCGAATTGCTTGTAATATTGTGGTAACATTTCACAACATAAGTCAGTTAGGAGGAGTTAATGTATTGTAGGAAATTGCTCCTGAACATTGTATCATATCATCACTGGTAATACAGGCAAAGGGTGACACATCTTAAAGTGAAAAACACGAACAGCTGCAGGTCAGTTGCTTGAATATACTTTACTTTATAGAGTTCACTTTATACTTCCATCTCCTCTGTACACACATTTGCGGTCTGCAGACGTGGTGTGTTCTAGTACTTGTGTTTTCATAGTAGAGCTGCAAGGAATAGTCGATTGATCGATTAACTGTTGTTTTGAGAAATTTTTCAGATTTCCTTCTTCTCTTCTTTGGGTTGTGGGCAGAACAAGACATTTGAGGGCGTTACCTTG